ATTGTGCACCTGTGTGTGTGTGTGTGTGTGTTGTTGTTGCATCGACTGATCATTAGAAAATGGACCTCAGGCTGTGATATGAGACATCTGTCTCCATCCTATTTTTTAATGTGCTTCTTTTTTATTACTTTATATTTTATTTGACGTGTTGGAGGGCCGGCAGAGCGGAGGCCAGAAAAAGAGAACGGTGAAGGAAGCCTTCAGCCAATTTTCAGACTTTCCAAATATTGACTTCTGATGCTTCCTGTGGCTTTCTTTTTTTGTTGAGGAGATGAAATGTGATCTGGGTGGAGTGCTTGAGCAGTGGGCTGTTTTGCCCCAGGTGAAAGTTATCGACTGCGCACTTTCAACCCGCAATAACACTCGCTTTATTGGAAATGTGGTCTCGACCTTAACCCTGAAAGTTTAAGTACATTTCGGGAGCGATTCACTCGTTCATCTGTTTCATGTTCGATTCAAAAAAACAACGCAGCCTTTCTGATGGCTCCTCTGATGGATCTGTGGCTTACGTTTTGCTGCATATTACATTGCAGTTTAGACACCTCCAAAAAGTAAGTTTCTAAGTGGTATTCAGTGATGCTTCAGTCAGACCAATAACACTACTTTGTTACACTTTAATGGAGAATAATATAATATTCCTTGCATTTGATGTAGCGCTTTATTACTTCATTGAGACGTCTCAAAGCGCTTCACAGAATATATTGCACAGCCAACTGCGCCCAACAGTGTCCCACAAACAGTCCTGCATTGAGTGACCAGATTTTTTTTGTTACTTTCCTTAGTATGTTTGAAGTTCCCAAGAGAAGCAAAGAAAATCGAGGTTGAAAGCGGCATAATATTAACCCACAAACACTGGGCTTTGATCCGAGCGTCTCTACATTTCTCACGGCCGTTTCCCCAGTATTGAATTTTTTCTGCTATTTATAGAGCTTTCCTCTGCGTTCGTTCATCCCATTACTTTTTCCATCGAATCCTCAGGGACCGATGTCCAAACATTTTGGTATTCTCAGCAGTCCTCAGCTTTCTTTACGTGGCCATTTGCCAGAAATAGCACTCGGCAACAGTCAATTACAATATGTCCAGTGCTGCACTGTATGTAGATCCCCTACCTCCTGCGAATTCTTATTTCACTTGCATTTCCTTTTCGCTCCTTTAATCCCTTCACAATATTGTATATGTCATCCTTATTCCTTTGGTTGCTCATTCACGTTTGTGGTTAATTATACCCATTGGAGTCCCTGGACACGTGCTGCAAAGTGAAGTGAGTGACTGTGTGTTTTATGGGAGATTTTGACCTGTGAAACCGTTTTGTTCTACGTGGAAAATTCCTAAAATTTAATATTAACATGGAAGTGGGTTTTTCTGCAGTTCTTAAAAATATCTGGCTTACAAATTTAGGCCGAATTGAATGATTTTCCACCCGAGTTCGGCCTGATTTTAAATTTTAAGGCAAACAAGGTCTCACGGGGTAAATCCAGGTGGAATTTCGGGCCTTATGGAATGAGATGATGTTAGTGATTTCAAAGGAGCTCTGTGGTGGTGTGCACTTCACTAACTGGGAATTGAAATGTGGCTCCACAAAGTCTTTTCTCTTATTGCTGTTGCGGTTTGATAGGAGAACATGTCATCCCATCACTCCGAGATAGATTGGAGTGCATGTCCCAGGGGTGAAAGCTTCGACTCACCGCAGCATCTTGCCTCGTCAGCTTTGTATTTGAAAGAGCGGTGGTCGCAGGACAGGGGAATGTGGAACCAGTGACGAGACTGACAAAACGCTTTCATGGTGATAAACTACAATAATGGGTAGATACAGCCTGCTGTTTTTATGGTTCATTCTTCCTGAATGAAGTCACTGAAAATGAACCAAACCACTTAATAATAATAATCTGTGCACTTGATGCTGCCCCTTTTCACATTTCAAAGCAATTCAGAGTTTCTCTCAAAGTACACTGACTGTATATTTATGGGTAAACAGGGCAGCCAATTTGCACACGGCAAATGGTGATCCATTTGCACTAAATCAAACATATTGCATTTTCTATCAATCCATTAACTCCTTTCTTATACAGTACTATTGGCTGTTCTTACTAGCGCTCAGAATAGGAAAGGGATGTTTTTATTCAATTTCCCTCAAATGCTGCTGTTTAACTAATCACGAAGGGACTTGCTGGTAATGCCGTATTTATAGTTCGGGTTCAGTGGCCTTTGGTTGCAGAAGCAGCATTAAACGTCAGTGCTAGAGGGAATTCTTTCTTTCATCTGACCTAGAAGCATAGAACTATGGAAATTTACGGTACTGAAAAGGGGTCATTCAGCCCATCTTGATTGTCCTGGTTCTCTGAAAGGTATCCATTTAATCCCATTCCCTGATTTCTCTCCCACACCCCCCCCATACTCCCACATTTTATACTTCACCTGTTCTATGTTTACCTGGAAGTGCTTGTATTTTTAAGCGCTTGATCGATCCATCACCTCATTAGCACAATTACTCATTGAACCAAAGAAAGGGGCAAGAAATAGGTTGCTATCGTTTGCAGGTAATAAATAATGATAATCGTTGTATTTAATATAGCACTTTTTACATCTTCTAGGATATACTGTTAAGTGAATTTTATTATTGTTTTTTTTGAGGGATTATTATCAGGCAGGTGGAATAAGGAAACTTGCCCAAGCTTTCACCCTACCGCGAATCGAACCCAGGTCTCTCGCTTGCTAGGCAAATGCTCTAATCACTGAGCTACAGGTGATCAAAGAAGGTTTGTAACTCACATTACAAACGACACATTATCCTTTGGATAAATGTAATATGAGTGAAATAATCATTCCTAATCGTAATCCCTCCCCCACACATAAATCCTATTGCTTGTACAGGATGACTAAAAAATTGTGATATCTACCCTATTATCTAAAAAAAATTCTTTAAGACGTAATAGACATTGTAATGGTATTACAACTTCTTGGTCACCCTGTCCACAGACACCATGAACGGCATCCATCACAGGGTTAGGACTTGCAGCGGAAACAAAATCTGTGCGGCATAACGGAAATAAGGAATGAAAAATGTATGTGTTAGAACTGGCCGTCACAGACACAGGATCAGTGTAGTGCAGTTATTATGTCTCCTGCAATCTGAGAGGGAAAAGGAACGGGATTTTAGAGGTGTGCTAGTGCAGATTAAGAGGGCAGTAACAGTTGGTGTCGTGCGTCCGTGAGAGTAAGATGCAATTTTATCAGTTTTCAATCTTCCCATCACGAGTTTGTCATGTCAGGCCGGTACCTAGTGGAAGCTTAAATCCTTCTGGAAGACTCTACAGCATCCCATTGTTCCGAATAGGACTGAATTTACCCCATTGTGAACAGGATTGCAGATTAGAAAGATAAGGCTGGTCTTTCATTCATCATCAGGACTTGGAGCTCCAGGCTGACACTCCGATACCGTGCTGGCGAAGGGGGACGTGCGGCACTGTCAGAGGTGACGTTGTTCAACCGAGACATTGATGCCTGTTCTGGTGGACGTTAAAGATCACGCAGCCCTGTCAGAAAAGGGGAGAGAGTTTGTCTCTCTCCTGGTGGCCTGGCCGATAATCCCACAGATAAAACCGGGTCATTCACTCCAGGCTGTTTGTGGGATATTACCGTGTGCAGAGTGGCTGCTACATTTGCTTACAAATACACTTGACAGAAACCTCTCTGAAACTCTTTGGAGACATTTTATCATTATGTGATAAGTGTCTTGGGATTTCCTTCCGCCATGAAAGGCACTATAAAAATACAAGTTGTTGTTGCTGCTGCTCAGAACCCACAGAATTTCTACTCCACTACTCCGACCTGGAAGAGATTCTAACTAACTTACTTTATTGATAAGTTCGTACACACGGCTCACAGGACATTGCTTGCGGACGGTAATGGTACAGCATTTTATTTTGAAACACCCATACAACTTCAGGTTAAGCAAGTCATACAACTTCAAAAAAAAAAAAACTTTGAATGAGGTACATCAAATTGCGAACATTGTACGTGATGGAGAACCAAAACTATTCACAGCCTAAGCAACAGTTTACACAGGGCAAATGACCATGAAAATTATCTCGTCATACAATATACTCCTCACATTTCTCAAACAAGGTTATTTTCCCTTGTTGGTTGTGCAGTATTTTTCCTCCCCATGTGTATAGATGCAGCAGGTGCTAACTGAGTTCATCAATGGAATTCGCGAGCGCTGGTTAGAGACCAGAACATATTAGCCCACTTGCAATTTCACCCACCAAAAAAAATTCCACAAATCTTCCCCCTCCCTCCCGCTCCCTGTAGGGTTAATGTTGGGATGCGTTGTGGCTCTAAGCTCATTCAGTGACAGTGAAACCTGCAAAAATAAGTATCTCCGGAGTCTGCACTCAAACCCAGTTCATAATCTATTAAAAAAAAATCTTTCTATACAAATCTGGCAGCTCGATTGTAATTTAATTTTCTGCAGACTGCTTTGCTGGATGAAAGATTCTGAGTGGGGTTTATTTCTGAGAGAGAGGAATGAATCGATTGAATGGCTCCCCTCATTCTGGATAGAAGTTACAAAGCTTTCATTAAAACCAGCTAGGTACCATGGGTGAAGGGATGGAGACACGCCAGTTCTAGAGATGGGAAGTCACGCATGAGCTAGGTTCAGTGGTCTTGGCACATAACATGAGGAATCAGCACAAGAACAATTGCCATCAGCAGGATGATTGCCCAATCTTGTGAGAGAACTAGAGACTTGATGGAGTACACACTGGTGCCATCTAGCGCTCACTACCCACCTCTTCATTCTCAAAAGCATATATATATATATATATTGTAAAGCACACCACCTCTGACCTGACTGGAGATAAATAGATACTTAGACAATATATAGAGACAGTAGTTTTTCAGAAACTAATTGTGCAGCACATCCAGAAGAACAGTGCTTATTAAAAATAGATATATTTATATATATATTTATATATATATCGTGCTTATTACGCATTTTAAAAATGTTCGAGCAAATATAAGAAAATATTTAATCGCCACTATCCATAAAACAGTGCTCAAAAGTCAGATACGAATCGTTAGATATAGCCTAGTGATGGATCTTAGCCCAATTGGTGTGTTCGAGACGTGCACAGTGAAGGGTGGGTTTGATATCGGACACAAGTGCAAAGTGTAATCTGTGTGAATTGACTGGGAAACTGACCCACATTAGGGTGGCATTACCCCAGTGTTTGGCTGCTTTATTTCCTTGTGCAGAGTTTGGGGGTTCTCACTCTGGCTCAACCCAGCAATGGGGACATTAACCTGCTCTCTGACGTCCAGATTGGATGCTCTACAGTTGACATAAAACCCATTTAGTAGTAACTCCTCAGACCACCACTTTATAACGAATCCGGAGTGTCTTATATGCTGCATCTTGTGAACGAGCATAAAACATTGGAGGATAAAACCTCAGCCTTACCAACTTTACCAGTGCACACATCTAAATCCCTGCAAATTTCTGCTCTCGGGCATTGCGTACATTAGTACAAAAGTGGACCTTGCACTACACTTGTATGTTATGTCAGGACAATACCTGGTGAATGCAGATCAGATCACCTTGACCCAATCCACAAATTATTGTGCTTCCCCCACATCTTTGCATTAGAAGCTGGACTTAAATGCTTCCATGCAGTGCAGGTGGAAATGGATCAGTGGATGGGTGGTGGGGTCTGGTGGGAATACAGTACAACTCGCTCCGGATTTCTGCCTTGATTAGCAAAATACTGAATGTAAACATCACCTTTGCCGCAAATCCGAATTAACGGATTGGCTGGGAACACACAATTCGGTTCTGCTGACTCCCAATTCAGTGAAGCATCCGCTACAAACAGATAGAACTTATTCCACCCTCTCTATCTCTCTCTTTCTCTCTCCCTCCATCCCCTCTTTCACCAAAACTTGTCAATTACAACCGAAGTTGCGTTACATTATCGATCCCAGAAGAATTCCCGTTTCTCTTCCTCTCTCTCTCCCCCCAGCAAAAAAGTTTCAAGCCGAAGGTTCATTGCGTAAAAAATACCGGGCGGATCATCTCAGGCAATCCGCGGATCCCTCCCTTGACCTCCGTCACTTCGGCTATGGAGGACGCCAGAATCAGGAAGACGTCCTGGATATTCTCGTCCTCCTTGGCCGATGTCTCAGCATAACGCAGCCCCATCTCGGCCGCGGCGAGCTCCGCCTCCTCTCGGGGGACTTGCCGCTCGGCCGACAGGTCGCTCTTGTTGCCGACGAGGATGAAGTTGCGGTGGCTCAGCTCCAGGGCCTCGCTGGCCTCGTTCAGCCAGTTCCTGATGTAGTCCAGAGTCCGGCGCCTGGTCAGGTCGAACACCAGCAGCCCACCCAGCATGGTCTGCAGATGGGACTGGGTGATGGTCCTGAAACAGAGCGATAAAATTAATCTGTTCAGTTTAATTGTGCTAAGATCAAAGATAGTCAGTTTCTCCTCTCCTGAAGACAGCAATGCAGTTTTAGCTGCTTAGGCTCCAGCATTTACCCCAACTCACAAGCCTTGGCTCTTGCCAACCCGGGTCTAATCTTTCTGCAATTAGGTGAGTAGGATGCGTCCCTCCAGGGAGAGAGAGAGAGAGAGAGGGTGCATTCCATTCCAACCATCTATCTCTGGAATTTCCATGTGGTAGTTGGGATGCATGGAATTCTCAGTTTAGTTTGGTGATGGTTTCGGCTTGTGTCAGACACCCGGCTGACCAAAGAAAAAGAAAGGCAACAACAACAGGACAATCGTCACATATTCCCGAAGTGGTCGCTAGTTCCCAGCTCAGGCCAATCAAACAAACAGTAGACACTTCCTTTCTCCCCCTCTATTTTGGGGGGTGGGGGAAAGAGTTGAAGGGTGGGGGGGAAGATGAGAAACATAACCAAACGTGCAATCAAAGAGGCAAGCTTTGAAAGCTCGTGTCCAAAGACAAGTTATTCCCAGGTTCAACAAACATCAAACTGATAAGACATTGCTGGAAGCCAGTAAACAGATGAGTCCGTTAAACTCGTTTTACATTGAAATTGTGGGCATTCTTCAACATCAACAACAACAAATTGCATTTACACAGCGCCTTTCACGTCAGGAAGACATCCCAAGGCAGTCAGGGATCCACACCCGAGATAGTGGTGGGATCATGAGGGGTGGAGGGTAGGGGTTAGAGGTAGACCAAAGGCACGGTAGAAGAGGAGGGTCTTGAGACGGTCTTGAAGGTGACATGGGAGGAAAGGCAGAACTGGTAGTAAAAACCGAAAAGCAGATAATTTTCTAGAGGGGGAGAGACTAGATAGTGTCAGTGTTCAGAGGATTTGGGTGTCCTTGTACACCAGTCACAAAAAGTTAGTATGCAGGTACAACAAGCAACTAGGAAGGCTAATGGCATATTGGCGTTTATTGCAAAAGGGTTAGAATACAAGAGTAGGGAAGGCTTGCTGCAACTGTATAGGGCCTTGGTGAGACCGCACCTAGACTATTGTGTGCAGTTTTGGTGTCCTTATTTAAGAAAGGATATCTCGCCTTAGAGGGGGTGCATCGTAGATTCACTAGGTTGGTTCCTGGGATGAGGGGGTTGACCTATGAAGATAGGCTGAGTAAATTAGGCCTATATTCTCTAGAATATAGAAGAATTAGGGGTGATCTTATAGAAACATATAAGATTCTTATGGGGCTTGACAGAGTAGACAGTGTGAGACTTTCCCCTGGTAGGAGAATCTATAACTCGGGTCACAGTTTTAAGATTAACGGTCAGCCTTTTCGAACAGAGTTGAGTTAAACATTTCTTCACTCAGAAGGTAGTGAATTTATGGAATGCTCTACCCCAGAAGGCTGTAGATGCTCAGGCCTTGAACGTATTCAAGACTTAGATTGATAGATTTCTAACAGATAGAGGGCAGATGGAGTTAGGTTAGAAGATCAGCCATGATCTTATTGAATGGCAGGGCAGGCTCGAAGGACTAAATGGCCTACTCCTGCTCCTAATTTCTATGTTCCTATGTAATTGGCTTCACTTCTTACCTGTATTCTTTTTCGCCTGCAGTATCCCACACTTGAAGCTTCACTCTGACCGTCGGCATGGCTTCCAGGATGTAAATGTAGTAGTCTACGCCGATGGTTTTCTGTAGGATCTCACAGAAAGTCCCTTCGGTCAACCGCAGAACAATAGAGGTTTTACCCACTGCAGAGTCACCCACCAAAACAACACGAAACTGCCATATAAACTTTTTCAGGCTCCCTCGTCTTAGTCTATGCCTCAGATCTGCAGACTCCCTCGAGCCACTCTGTCCCATTACTCGAAAGTTTAAGCTTCCTCAGAAAATGTAACAGCAATCACAACACAAGCCAGGCAGAGGCTCAAATTACTCACTGATCAATGCCCCTCCCTCCCTTCTTCCTTCAACAGCCCACCCTGTTAAGGAAGTGGTGACTGCTGATTTGGTTTGCCAATGTTTTGCAGCAGTAAAGCCTTAGCTTCCAATCAATATAGAAGGGCGGTGAGGACATGAGGCTGGGAAGATGATTAGCTGGGAAGAGAATGGCTGGTTAATGTGGAACCACAGCTGGTGGTAGATTACTTGTCAAATACCGCAGCTAATCACAAGTACTGGGCAGTCCGCCCCCTCTCCCTAGATTATAAAGTCACTAAATGATTGCAGGGGTTAGAGAAGTTGCAGTAATTATTGCCTGGGCACAGGGGCTTTTGCTAATCTGGTGCTCGACGTAGATGTTCTGCGATTTTCTGGAGGATGTAGATTTGCCGAAACAGTAACAACCGTGTTTACACCATTGCCCTTCATGTAGGATACCATCTCAGAGCACTTCACAGTGGCGGGGTCGGGCGCTGAGCAAGGGAGAAAAGAGCAGGAGGAACTTAACATAGGTGCGGTTTTAAAGATGGATAGAGAGGGGGGCGAGACAGAGAGGTAGAGGGAGGGAGTTCCAAACCCCTTCTCCTCAGGTTGTGGGATGCTGCTCATGAGTAAGCCAAGACGCAGCATTCAACTTATTCCATCGAATTGTAGCATCAGAGCTGATTCATGCGCACATCATTCTTTAAGTTACCCAGCTGAAGTCAATAGATTATTATCGGTCCTTTATGGAGAGTACATGAAGCATAACTTCCTGCCTTTAGGCTCCACGAACCCTATATTAGTATAAACTTTTCCCATCATCTCAATTTTGCTTCCAGAGAATTTATTGCCACTGGACTCTGGACAAGATCCAATGAGCTTTTGGATGCACACGTGAGCCTGGAATGAGATAACTGAGCCTCTAAACATCAGGCAGGATGATTAAACTAAAGAAGATAGTGTAGAAACAATGTAATCTAATAGAAACCCACTCCCAAAGCTTTGTGACTATCGCAGGTGGAATGAAACAATGATTATCTTTAGTAATGATTTTAAATGGACGTTTACTCTTCAGAAAAATTGATTCTGAACAATTAAGGTTATTTCTATCAAGCACAGTACAAACTGGGGAAAGGGCAGGTAATGGGACTGAAAGGATGGCTTTTGAGGGAATTGACAGATGCAATCGGCTGAATGGCCTTAAATTTCTATGGTTTAAAGTAAGAAAAATATATAGACACCACACTAGGGTTTTGAGGTGTTGGGGGAATTTGCTTTTTAACCGTAGCAATATGGTCACCCAACTTATTGTATTGGCATTGTTTGCAAGCCAGTCTTTTTGTAGGAATATCAAACCTTGGCAAATGTGATGACTGCTGATTTGGTTTCTCCAATGTGTGGAGTCCATTCCTTATTGATGACATGATTCATTATTAAAATTACTAATGCCAATTCTTACATTTATCACGCATCACAATTTATACTTATATTTGTAGCATCATGATATCAGGAGTATGGCTCAAAGTGCCTTCCAGGATGTACTGTAAAATGTAGTGACTGTATTTGTAGGCGTCATAATAAATAAGACCAGCTGGGACTGGATTCGTGTAAAATTTTAATCAAAAGAATAAACATCAGCCAATACCTGTAGTCACTCACTCACACACATTCGAGAGTTTTACACACACTCTCTGTATACTTAGTCACTATATGGACCAGACAGCCAATATTCAGGATGTAAATAGGCACATATGGCAGCAGATAACATTAACCCTTCCACCTTACCAGAATAAGCAAAACTTTCATTGAAGATAATGATCAAGGGTCTGGAAATACAGAGCTGGATCAAATCTTTGTAGCCATTATATAGAGAGCAACACAGTCAAAGTTAAAGATCATTGTCGCTAAAAGCTACTCACGCCCATGTTAAACATTATAAATATCTCCCCACTGGACAGAGCAAAAGCTCTTTAGTCAAACAATATTTTCCAATGTGGGGATGTTCACTGACCTGACTTTATAAGGGCAGGAAGTTTATCAATCAAAAATTAAACGTCTCGACTCTCTCAGTGTGAATTTGTTTTCTTTAAAAAATACAGAAATGCCGGGTTCTTATCAGCAGTGAAAGGCAATGAGCTTGAAATCGTCCCAAAGATTTAGTAGGATTTTCTTTGTGCTCCTTTGCTCCTTTTACCAACCACGAGAGGTGGCGAGCAAGTGAGACAAATGTTTTCAGAGGGCGACACAATGTAAGCAAAGAAGGATTAACAGGAAGATGTCAACTAAACCAAGTATGTGAAATTTACATAGACATACATCTTACCAACATCGCCATTAAGTTACTACGACCAAGTTTTTTTTGCACGTTTTCTTAAAAAGACCCTATTTGGAGTATCTTCTCCTACATTTTAACATCTCCCAGTAGAAAAATCACCCAACTGCCACCAAATCAGTTAGAATGCCTCATAATGGGATCAAACTATGTGAAGACTCAAGAGAACTCTCCCTGTGATCCAACTGCTTTCAAACACTGCAGGGCGTATGCTGTAAGAATCGGTGCCTGATCAAAGGATTTCTTCAAACCAATGCTTCCATTTAACAGTGTGTCTGGCCATTAATTGGCATCCACTGTGCTGGAATTCCCAGTTCCCAAGGGTTTATTAGCAAGTAGTACAGTAAGTGATTTTTTTTTCCAGTGGCACTGACGATCACCAAGTGATTGTGCTTTGTAGATGTCGCTTTCTATATCTAATGCAGTTTATTTGAGCATTGGGTCATGACCAGAAATGCAACCGACAGATGCAATTATAGTCTTGCGATTGCCCACTCTGCTCCTGGTATTGTAACTTATTAATTGGATCAGGTGCATAAACCTTGCATTTCACACAGTGCCTTTCGTGACGGGAGGATGCTTTAAAGTGTTTCCAGGATTTACTGTCAAGGGTAAAGACTGAGTATTCAGTGGGCGAATAGCTAGCAATTGCAATCACTTCCTTTCTTTTTGTCTTTTGAGTGCTCCAGTATCTTGGGATGAAATCCTCGTTTCACTCCATCCCAACCTTTCTCCAACACGATCTCCCCTGAGTTCATTGAATCGTAAATGCACCGGGTCAGCGTGACGAACGCCTTCTCCACGTTGGTGTTGTCTTTGGCCGAGGTCTCCAGGTATTCCAAGCCCAGCCCTTCCGCCAGCTTCTCCACCTCCTCTCGGGTCACCTCACGATCGTCGGTTAAGTCGCATTTGTGCCCGAGCAAAACAAAGATGGTCTTGTTCGGGAACACGTGTTCGTTGATTTCGTTCAGCCATTCTGTGATGTTCTCAAAGGACTTCCGGTTGGTCAGATCGAACAGCAGGAAGCCCCCCACCGAATTCCTGTAGTAGGAGCGAGTGATGGATCTGAAATACGACGTAAAGAGGATTAAAAAGGTACTCAACCCTGGAGCTGCAGAATTCAACCGTCGCTTTACTTTCTCTGCTTCCCCCGCCCCTCACTGTATGATTAGCTTCTCTTACACCTATCTATCTCACAACAATAATTTCCATAGATTTTCATGTCAGAGGATGTCCCGAAGAGTTTTGGGGCAGCGGACTGAGCAACCGAGCCCGGGGGGCGTGGGTGGGTGGGTTGGTGGGTGGGGGTGAGCTGAGGAGAGTGGGTCCAAAGCTGATCTTTAAGAATCCCATAATTCTGATATAATAGCACCATTCCAAACAAAATTCCTATGTGCAGAATTTTGTACAGGGTTACTCCCCACCCCCACTGCATTGGAGCATTTCCCCTACAAATTATACAGTCAATTTACTTTACAGTATATTCTGTGAAGCGATTTGAGATGTCTAGAAGATCTGATAAGGCACTACATCAAATAAAAGGAATATTACATTATAGCATCAGCCTGTAGCTCCATGTCCTGACGTTGGTGGGTGGGGGGGGGGGGGGGGGTTGAACCCATGACCCTTCTGACTCCGAGGCGAGAGCTATGCTGACTAAGCCAGGCCGAGCTACAAGTTTTATTGTCAACACTAAACGGAAAACATTTCAACATCTGCTCATCAAGAAAGTGGCAGGAAGCTTCACGTCACAAAAATGTCCTATTTAAGTCAACTTCAGATCTCTTATCATAGCAATTGGGCACATTACACTAACACAATTGAGAGATATATAGTAGACTTGATGAGGTGAGAAATATACAAGTGTTTTATTAGACTGAAATTAGTAGCAATTTCAGGCACGAGTCATCCACTTATCTTCAGTATTTACAATCCTATCCTTAAATTCCTTATTACAGGAGTCAATTGCATCAGTGTAGCTGCTCTCAGCGAGATGAAGGAAATGTGTTTCTGTACAGTACTTTGTTCTTCAAATTATTGTTATCTCCAGTTCTGTGGTTGTATGGAGGGAGAGGCCGGGGGCTGTTGGGTTACTGTAGAGCAACTTACCAATTAGAGAGTTAGAAACACTCAACCGGATGATGTTTAGCAATACGGTGTTTACGGACAAGATTCATCAGTGTCGTACAGAGAAAAACAAGCCCTAACTGATAATCTCGACCATCATTTTTCCTCACCCATGACACCATAAGGTGTGGCTTGCTGAACGAGTGCGCGCAAAGCAAAACTGAACACCACTAGCTGTTGTTGTGCTTGTCCAGGCCATTTTCCTAGGGCGGAAATCAATGTTACACGGATTCAAAATGACTCAGATGTCCGCTTTATTTCTCTGTTCAGATCTTCTTGCGGGGAAAGGTTCAGCGTTTTGATTTCATGATTTTTTTTAAAAAAAAAACATTTTAGATGCTGCTTTCTTCCTTCCTTCTCCCTACTTGATAAATATATCTTGCACTTTCCGGGTTAACGGTAGAATTACAATATCTGAAGTGACTGGGGCGAAAGTTGCAGCTCTTTAGAATGCATATCTTGTGCATCGCTTTCAGACATCCTCCCGACGTGAAAGGCACCATACCAAATCTAAGGATTATTATCTGATATAATCCCATTACAAAATGCCCACGATTCACCCCAATGATAAAATAATAATAATAATAATCCTTGCATTTGGTATAGCGCCTTATCACATTTTCGGGACATATCAAATCCCCCCTCTTTGTTTTGCATCATTAACACCTCTTTGACCCATCATCCCCTGTCCTCTACCCATTTTCTCCTTTGGCTTCCTTGCCCTGCCTCCCCCCTCTGTCCGTTAGCCCTCAAACGCCTCTCCCTCGCAACGTGCCCCAGTTCTGACAAAGGGTCGTGGACACTTTCTTTTCTACGCAGATGCTGCCTGACCTGCTGAGTGTTTCCGGTGACTTCTGTTTTTGATACTGTAAAGTGAATTGATTGCATATTTTGTGGGCAAAACTTGCAGGTTGGGAGGGGTGGGGCTGGTTAAATAGAATGCTTAACTTCCTACACACGTGAAACCTGGGCCTGCTTTTCATACCTTCTGGAATCAGTAAGACCACAGGGTTAGAAACATCCTTGTATTAATTATTCTCCCTGCCAGACATGACACAACACCAAATGCTGTTTGAACATTTGAGTGTATCAGGGAGATCAGAGGTTAATAGATTAGCGAAAGACACTAACTTTGTTACAGCAAACTAAAAAAAAAACAGCATTGCTCCAGGCACAAAAAAAATCATTTGAATCAGTCAGAGTTAACATCCCCAGCAGGTAAGTTACCCTTGATGAAGTTGTTGCAATACCAATGTTCTTTTAAATTAGTTGGCAGCCTATGGATCAGATTTTTTTTTAAAAAACACAAAGGACTCCACTGTTCCCATCCCCTTCACAAATTTGACTCTCAAATAGAGATTGCGTAGGATTTAAAAGTCTCTGTGACTAGTGGATTTGCATTTGATATAGCGCCTTATTACGTGATGAGACGTCTCAAAGCGCTTCACAGATTATATTGTACAGTGGATTGATTGACTGTGTGTTTTGTGGGCAAAACACGGCAGCCAATTGGGCACAGCAATGTCCCACAAACAGTTGTGTTTTGAGTTACCAATTTTTTTGGTGGAGAGGGATTATTACTCCCAAAAAGCGATCCGCCAATCAACTGACAACCGGGTTCCTAGTTACTGCTAGGTAAACAGTGGCGCCAGAGTAAGGAAACTTGCCTATGGTTTCATCCCACCTGGGAATTGAACCCGAATCCTCTCGCTTGAGCGCACTAAGCAACCGGACTCACACATGGATAGAATAAATGCAACAGTACTTGTGTACAGCCAATATGCAGGGATAATTACCATTTGATTACCGTCTGAAACATTGCGAAATTTTACAACATTGTTTGCCAGATCTGTTAAACACTGAAGTATAGAATTAATCACAGATAGTTCAGTATTTATCTCTGACAATTACACTGTGTAAAATTATGCTTAATATTATTTGAGAACACCTTGAGAGCCACTTGCACTTTATGGTGCATAACAACATTGAAGGAACGAACATTGCTGTGAAGCAATCTGAGTTTCTGGGGACGCCGCTATGGATTTAAATACAAAGGTGTCAGGCTGGCTCAGTTGTTAGCGTTGTGTTCCATGAGGCAGAAGGTTATGGGTTCAAGCCACCAATTCCCTGACTTTGAGCTCAGTTATATTTCCAGTGCGGGGCTGGTGTCCTGGTCAACAATCCCCCAGATTAATTGGTCATTCACCTCCCAGCTGGTGGTGGGAAATTGCTGTGTGCAAATTAGTTGCTCGGCTTCACCCACAAATACAGTCACGTCACTTAACACGAATTGCTGTGAAGCACTTTGACACGTGTTGACACAATGGGCACTACATCAAATGCCAAGTGTTTTTTTTATTACATGGAGCTGTAATGATTCCGCCTTTACATTTGAGGGTTACGGCAATGCTGTCAATAATTATTTTGCACTATATTTATTTTCGCCAAGATTCTCCAGCTTCCAGCAAATAACCCAGTTAACGTCACTGTCCCAAGGTCTCGACATATCACTCAGGGTAAGTAAGCCTGACTCAGCTCGATTGAACGGATCTTTCAAGGAAATTACTCGTCAAAGCCAGATGAGCCACACACACACACACACACACAAAAAAAAAGTTTCGCAACTTTCAGTAACTTTCCTGCCACTTTCAGTAACTTTCCTGCCACTTTCAGTAACTTTTCTACCACTTTCAGTAACTTTCCTGCCACTTTCAGCAACTTTCGGTAACTCTGAAACTAAAATAAAAAGGAGGGGTGGAGAGAAAGAGAGAGAGAGAGAGAGAAAGATCCACTCCAGTTTTATCCGTGCGTTGGAAAGTGGCCCAGATAACGAGTTAAGCAGCCAGCTAGAACCGACTTAACCTAACTCACCTGAACCTTTCTTGACCAGCTGTATCCCAGAGCTGGAGTTTGATGTTACACCCGGGCTCGACCTCCACCAAACGCGCATAGAAATCCACTCCCACGGTCGGATCCGAAACCTCGTTGAAACTGTCATCGGTGAAACGTTTCAGGAGAGAAGATTTGCCCACCGTGGAGTCTCCCACCACGATAATCCGAAACTGGTACTGCCAGACCACCTCCATGGCATCGCTCAGGAGAGACAAGTACACCTATTTCTCTCCCCCACCTCTCTCGCTCCCCAAACGCGCCCCCCCAAACTGCCCAGGGTCGCTGCAAAGTTGCACCAAAACTGGTTTGGGTTTACATTGTCTGGGAGATGCGGAAGTCAGGGTTTCCTGAGGCTGATGTGTGTGTTTTTTTTTCCCTGGCAATTGGTTGGGGCTGTGGTTTGCTTTGTGTGTCATATGATACCTCTCTCTCTCTCTCTCTCCTCCCCTCCCTCTCTCCCTCTCAGCAAAATCGGATCCACGTGTTTGCACAGGTTCAAACTTCAGCAAAATTGCAGTCCCAGTCAGTCTTGTCTGGTCTGGTCTGGTAATTCCCTCCTGTGCTCTTTTGGTGGTTTGTATAGAAAATAATGTGCAAGTATCCTTTAGGCGAAAGAGTGACAGGGTTTTGTTATCGGCCAGGTTAAGAACGCCAGCGACCCGAATAACTTACTCGGGTGCAAGGAGATTAGCGCGATATTTCTGATCCAAATTGAGCGCTCTGAGACGCTATCATGGGTGAGGAGCGCCTTATAAATGCAAGTTGTTGTTGTAGACTCGAACAGGACATTTGGCTGAGCCCAGATTGGGAAGACAAGGAACAAAACTAACATTTCCCCCTTGTTGTTAATCGCATCACTTTCGCCCATAAAATTAAACGGCTAAAGTGTTCTTGAGAGGGTAGATTGTGCAGTAAATACATAATTCATCCCTTTGTGTGTTAAGTGATGCTTGCTTGGAGGGCACAGTCACATTAGACAAGGCTGATTGCATTTCCTGTAAGCAGTTTATCTCCGCATCCATTGCTTTGTGAAGTTTGTGTCCGGATGAGAGTTTGGGAGGCTGAAATAATAATAATAATCCTTGCATTTGATATAGCGCTTTTCACGTCTTCTAGACGTCCCAAAGCGCTTCACAGAATATACTGTAAAGTGAATTGACTGTATATTGGTGGGTGAACGCGGCAGCCAATTGCGCACAGCAATGTCCCACAAACAGTCATGGATTGAAAATGACCAATTTATTATTGTCTTTGGTTTTGGAGGATTATTATTAGGTTCTGTGTGGAGTAAGGAAACTTGCCCAAGGTTTCGCCCTCTGCCTGGAATTGAACTCAGGTCTCTCACTTGCAAAGCGAGTGCTCTAACCACTGAGCTACAGGACTCCACAATGGCTTAACGACAAGGAATAAATTAAAATAATTTTCAATTTATTAAAAGCAAACCACGGCATTTCGGCCGTGGGAATCAGCAAATCCGGGTAAAGTAAAGGCATGATCGTATGTGTCTCTTTTAATAATCCAGGCTGTCATTCCAGTACAGTACTGAGAGGGAACAATACTTGCATGATATTGGTGGCATTGCTAACAGGCGAGGCGTAAAAGATTCCGTGACACTATATCAAAGAACAGGACTTACTCACTGCGACCTCTCTCAACAAAACCAACAAAAAAAAAATCAGACGCATTGGGTCATTCATCTTTTTGCTGTTTGTGGGACTTTGGTGCTTTTGTCTACACCAGTGACGACATTTCAATAATTCACGCGAGACTCTTTTAAGGCGTTTCCAAGATCAGGCGCTGTATCAAATACTGTAACTATTACATTGAAGTCTTTTTTATTGTTGCGTACAATAGTGACCGCAGGCAAGTGAAGTAGCATTTAACCTGCACCGTTATACTCTGTTTCAGGAGCTCAGTGCTCACTCACTTTGTTTCCCTTACCTCGGCTGAACACGTTTCAACATCATCACTAACTGGAGTTCACTTATATCGTCTACTCTAATCTGTCGTCTGAACCTGACAATATGAAGGTGCACCCGATGATCATTTTTGGAGCGTCTGTGGGGAAGCAAATAAATTATTTACTCACTTACTGTTATATTACCAATTTAGTAAGCAATAATAACAACTTGCATCCACACAGAGCTCATCATGTGGGGTAGCGTCTCAGAGCAAAAACAGTGGGAACTCTAAACAAAACAGGATTAAGTCATATCTCACTATTTTCCCCTCACTGCAGATCTCGTAAAGATGAACTCCTGTGATTCTGTTGCACTCTCTGACAAATTGAATTGTCATTCAAAATCAAAAATCTAATTCAGCACCCGAGGCTCTGGTACATTTACACTGAAGAAACAGCATCAATACGTACATATTTATTTAAATCGTGGTAGCAATACACTTTATGTAACCAACCTTTCCACTGTAATAATAATAATAATAATCCTTGCATTTGATATAGCGCTTTTCACGTCCGGAGGACGTCCCGGAGCGCTTCACAGAACACACTGTAAAGTGAATTGACTGTGTATTTGTGGGCAAACGCGGCAGCTAATTGCGCACAGCAATGTCCCACAAACAGTCGTAGATTGAAAATGACTAATTTATTATTGTTTTTGGTTTTGGAGGGATTATTATTGGGCTCTGTGTGGAGTAAGGAAACTTGCCCAAGGTTTCGCCCTCTGCCTGGAATTGAACTCAGGTCTCTCGCTTGCAAAGCGAGTGCTCTAACCACTGAGCTACAGGACTCCACGAAGCAGAAGAAACATTCTCACAAAGCACATAAAAAGGATGTCTAACACCACCGTACAAGTTACATTTCTGCTGTAACCGATTGTTTTTGTGGTTTGAAAAAAAAGTAAATTAAGTTTCTGTTGAGCAAGATTTGGTACTTTTTGTAGATGTTTATTTAAGCACAACTCAAAATTCAATGCAACAAAACATGGAGTTTAACCCACGCAGTTTACATTTCTTTTCATGCATTGCTGACACTTTGGGGAAGAAAATAATAACTTTGTAATTTAGATCCTTCGATTTAATAGTTGCCAGGGTCACAAAGATTAATTTACTGATGACTAATGCATCGCTATCCTAAGCAAATTATATGCAAAGTTATGGATTTCTTCCCTGTATATGTCATCGGTATATTATGTCTTATCCTGTATGTTGGCCCAATGATGGCAATTAGCTTGGAAAACTAACAGCTACACATAACTCCCCCCCCCCCCCCCCCCGCCTCTTAAAAAAAACATTGCCAAACTGCTAATTCTGCAGGATGCCAATTTGAAGGTACTTGATAAAAGTTATTCTGTTAAATTCCAGCAGTTACCCCCAACGCATTCTGGATTGCCCAATCCTTGGTTTTCAGCAATCTGCATCTGTTGAAATTAGGTAAGCTTTAGGGTGTGTTGCGTTAGGGAGAGAGAGTATATTCCATTCCAGATACACATACATTAAATGCAAGATACATACACTTTTGGATGTTGAAATTTTAAAAATTAAAATTTTTATATTGACACAAGTTTTACAACAGCAACAATACCAAGATTGCATTTATTGAGCGCCTTTCACGTCGGGAGGATGTCCCAAGGCGCTGGACAGTTCGGTCGGGACCCGAGCAGGGGGGAATGGTCAGGGTGAGGGAGGGAGGGAGCGAGGAGGGGGTAGAGAGTCGAGAGGTGAGCTGAAGGTACGGTTGAAGAGAAAGGTCTTGAGACCGGCCTTGAAGGAGGAAAGGGAGGAAGCGGCGAAGACACTGGGGATGGAGTTCCAGAGCCTCGGGGCTGAGAGGCTGAAGGCCCGACCACCGATGGTAGGGCGGTTGGGGTGGGGGATGTGGAGCAGACCGGAGCCAGAGGAACGGAGGGTACGGGCAGGTAGGTAGGGGGATAGTAGGTTGGAGAGGTAGGAGGGAGCGAGGCCGTGAATGGCCTTGTAGGTGAGGATGAGGATCTTGAATTGGATCCTCTGGGGGATGGGGAGCCAGTGGAGGCGAGCGAGGGTGGGAGTGATGTGGTCCCGTGCCTGGTGCGGGACAGTACACGAGCTGCAGAGTTCTGAATGACCTGCAGTGTGGAGGGAGGTGCGGGAAGGCCGGCGAGGAGAGAGTTCCCATAGTCCAGCCTTGAGGTGATAAAGGCGTGGACCAGTTTCAGCAGCGTGAGGGGTGAGGTAGTGCCGTAGTCTGGCTATGTTCCGGAGATGGTGGAAGGCGGTGCCAATTGTGGCGCGGATATGGGGAAGAAGACAACTCAGGGTCGAACAGAACCCCGAGGTTCCTGATGGCTTTGAGAGGTGGAGAGTGCAGCCTTGGATGCTGATGGTGTCAGCGCCTGAGGCGCAGAGGCGCTGACGTGAGCCAATCGGGAGGGCCTCAGTTTTTTGCACGTTGAGCTGAAGAAGTGTCTCTCGTCCAGGACTCGATGTCGGACAGGCAGGCTGTCAGGACATCGGGGGTCGTGGAGTTGAGGATAGAGGAGGAAAGGTAGAGTTGGGTGTCATCCGCATACATGTGGAAGTTTACTTTGGTCCCAGCATAATATCATCTGGTTGTCTAGGAAATTACATTTATAAACCACTGTAATGTAAATAGCACAGTTAGATTTCCATAATTCAGGAGATCAAGTCAATGTTTGTGAATAATTTCCCCCAGCACGAAAAGGAAAGGAATCCAAAGCCATACCCTTGCTGGTAACAATAATCCTTGCATTTGGTCTGGAGCCATTTACATCAGGAGGATATCTCAAAACACTTCACAGGGTTTACTATAAAGCGTAGTGACTGTGTATTTTGTAGATGAAACGTAGCAGCCAACTTCCGCACAACGATGTCCCACAAACAGCCATGAAACGAATGAACAATTTTATCTGGGTCAAGGCTAAATACAGCGAGGCTGATGTCACATCTGCGCTGCTGGTTTGCTGCTGATGCCAGCTCAGATGTAATTCACGTTAATAAAGTGAAGGAGGTGCAAGCTTCTCTCAAGAGACATGACCAGATGGGGTGGTATCTACAGGGGTGGGCTCTGGAGGTCGACCCAACAAAATTATGAACAGAACTGAAGCCTTTCCTGGCCTCCAGAAAGCTAAATGATTCAGTTCAGCCAGAAAGGCCAACAAAGCAATCTCATCATTCACTGGCCTGCAAAGAAATCCATTCTCCAGGCATTAGGGACGCTTTGACTTTGACAGATAGCTACATGAAGTTAGAGGCCATTGATAACGAGGTGGTTGAGGTCTAGAAAAATCAGACTCCGTTTACTATGAGGATTGCGTTGTAGAGAGGCCGTCAGTCAATACTTCCTCATCAACAGGCGGTTGCTGAACCTGGCTGTGTACACACACACACAGCAAGACGGCAACTACTCTCGTGAGTGTTTCCAGTGGCTACCGAGAGGCCTTATACACTTGCAATTTATGCACCGAAGAAATAGAAGTCTCGCACTACTGGTAACCTGAGCAGTCCATGGTGCAATCATGTTGTACAACGGGGCCCGACTGTGAATCCAAATCACTACTGGGACATAAGTGCTGTGCACAAGCTCACAGTATAATAATAATCCTTGTATTTTTTTATAGCGCATTTTCACGTCTTCACGACGTCTCGAAATGCTTCACAGAAATATACTACAGAGTATTTCAAACATATAAAGTGACTGTATACTTTGCGGGTGGAACACAAGCAGTTAGGTTGGCCTGGGTGCTGGGTAAACCTCCTGGGGAGAGGATGGTTACTGCAATGCAAAGTACTGCAGACGCACTTCCTCAAGCTGTGCTGTAACACGTTAAATGATCTATTGTGAAACATTCCTACAAATCAAACAGCTATCTGAGCTGGGGCCATGGCGTCAGCTTAAAAAAAATGCGAGTTTCAGACAGGTTTTTAAATAGAATTCTAAAAGCATCTCAGTATCCAAAACTGCCACTGAAACCTGTACTTGTTACTGGAAAACAGAGCCTTAAGAAAATGAATTTAAAAACTGACCAAATATTTGGAATTTTCATACATTTATTACATACACCCAAGAGAAACTTTCTTTAAAAAAAATATTTTGTGTCGGTCATTGAAGTGATGAACCGTTTGCAGATGGCACGACCTCCATGATTCTTAATGAATTCTATTCCTATCGTCTGTTTTTTATACGCAAGCAATTACAGTACAATATAATCTCTACTCGCCCCTTTGTTCAGATTCACAGTGTGAACTAAAATGCAACTCTTGTCAAAAAATAAAAAGGAACAAATAATTTCAATGCAACAGGATTCAAAAGATAGCTAACATATTCTTTCTGAGATTGTCAGACTACTGTATCAGGCGGGCATCAGTGTTAACAATGGATTTAGATGATCCTGAGGCGACTGGGAGAAACTGATAAGAATATCCAATTCCACCAGCCTGTGACATAAGCAGACAGCGCGATCCATATTTGTTCGATGCTCTGGGACCCAGCTTGGTTTCTGCCCGTCATCTTTCCCATTTCTGCCTTATTAATACAGCTAGGTAACGTCGAACAGAACACTGTGGAGGCAAACAGTTTGACAAGGCATGTTAGCAATAAGAAAATGCTATTCAACTAATTTAGAACGACAGGGTGGAGGTTGAGAAGATTAAAGGAGGAAAAGCACACATTTAATACTGAAACAGTGGAACAAGTGGTATTTTGCCAGTCCATCGCCAGTGCTGGCAAGTAACAACTAACAAACAGTGTCAACCCACATCTCTTTGGGAATCTTGGCAGCATAGCAGCCAACAAAAAAGTTCAAAGTAGAAGACAAACAAGTATTGGAGAGAAAGATATATATTGTAATTGAAATGACTTCAGCCTTTTTCTTAGAACCTCATTCAGCTCATTGTTCGTAGTTTATTTAGAGAATAGTGGAACCCAAGCCTGTTTGTTTGGTGTGCCTTACATGTCTCTACAGAGTTGAAAATATAAACAAACCAACAAAGCAAAGCAAGTAGTGGTGGTTGTGAAATAGGTTGTTTGCATCATCTGTGCTTGCGTCTGTTTCAAAATGTGCAAAATGCAGTACTGAGGATGTGGTGCTAAACCTCGATTTCAATTCACTTCAATCCAAATCCCACCTCAAAGGAATAGGATTATTGTACTGATGGTGGCTCTGTCCAAAACCTTTAAAATACCGTCTCAGCAAGAGTGACAAAAGAAATAGCCACTGCCTCCTCGACATGAAACTCCTGCATTACGGAGAGTACAATCAGTGGTTTCTGTCAGCCCTTGGAATCAGCCGCCGCTTCCAGCATTTCCTCAATTTCCTTTTCCCAGGCATCGTTGATTTGTTCGCTGCCTTCGACTATTTCAAACTCCTGTAGCTCTCTTTGCAATTCCTTTTCCCACTCTGGAATGTCATCTGTTGGGACAAGAAAAATAAGATGCTTAAATATTCTGAACTAATAAGAGGTTGCATTTAATTACTGTTGGCTGCTCAGTTACAGTACATCTGGGTCCTGCGCAAATCAGTAACTTATTATTCCCACTATTAATATTATCACAATATTCTTCACAATAGGGAATCTAATACTGAAACCATATGAGGTAGAATGTGCCACCCTGTAATTTGTGCTCATAAGCTTAGACATTGTTGAGAAGCAATTGGAATTCCCCATTACTGTTTACTCAATAGGAGTGTCCTTTAAACCAAACGTTGGAACACCAGCATCAGGGTGTTACATCAAACACAATGTCGATATCTTTCCAGTAGGAAATCACACCCATAAATCAACTTGTTTATTCTCAGTTTGATATTAAAACTGTCTGCAATTTAGACTTCGCCTCAGAAACTTTTTTTTTAAAAAAAAGGACATTCTGCTGGCACACCTACCATCTTGCACAGGTATTGGCTTGCCAGCACTCATTCCAAGCATTTCCATGCCCTCTAGGAGGTTGTCCTGTTTGGGGAATAAAGTGTGATAAGCATCACTGGCAAACTCAGCAGCAATCAGACTTGTTGAAATCTGAACCACAGGAGAAATCATTAAAGCAAACCCCCCAAAAAATCGTTTCACAACAACTTGGATTCGTACAGTGTGTTGTACAGATGGTAATGGCTTGGAAGTGCTTTACAGTTGGACATCAAGCAAGGGAGAGGGAACAAGGCGGAAGTGACCATAGGTACATAGGGAAGATGTGGGATTTGAGGCAAGGCCTAAAGATAGAGAGGGTAAGACGGAGTGGTAGAGGAAGGGAGTGCCGGAGGCTAGGGGTGATCAGGTAAAGCCCGCAATTTTGGCTCTGAAAATTTACCTCTATTCACTCATACAAAATGGAACGCAAATAGAGAATGGATTAAATACAAACACATTACAACCCACCTCCACAGATTCACTTTGGCTGTTCACTGGAACTGGAGCAGTCTTTGACAAGGTAGAACCTGACGAAAGAGAATGGGGTGTGTGGGGGGGGGGGGGAAATGTAATAACTGAGCCATATATCAATGCAAATTAATTTTTAAAGTTCCTTTCAACAAAGGTGTCACCAATTGCCATTGTTTGATTCAGTTAGAAAGCAGAAGAGAAACAGAGCGAAGGAATCACCTGTGGCTGAAGTACGGTCCTCCAATGGATCCTCTTTCCTCTTGGATCTGCCAGTGTGCTGAGCAGCTAGCAAAGAGAGCTCAGCAGACTGTTTGATCAGAGATACTCGGTAGAAATAGTTTCTCCAAAATTGCTCTTCTTTCACACTAAAAAAAAGTGCAAGTCGGCACAGGTTAGGTAAAAATACAGATAATATAACAAGGACAGTAATAGAACAAGGACATTATTTATAGAATTTCATAAGCCTCATTTTTCACAATTTACAAAGCAACATGAGCTGTGCAATTTTATTACTCTTGTAAAATAAAAAAATGAGACGCACAATATTTTCTGCTTAGCAACCTAAAGGGAACCAGGAGTAACTGAATTCTTCATTCGTGCTTTGATTTCTCAAATGTGCGCCTCGCCTTTCCTTCCAAGATCAACCCTCCACAAGCTCTGGCTTCACCTCTGCTGCTTATAATTTCTGCCATATTAAACCCTGCTTGTTATCATCCTCCCATCATTGTCAGGTTCCTCTGGCTCTTTTAACAGTTCAACTTCAAGATCCTCATCCTGATTTTCGATGGCCTCTTGCCACAAACCCCAACCCCTGCCAATTAGGTCAACTAATCGCTTACTTTTCACCTTGCTCTGGTTTCACTTCCAAGTGCCGTAAGTGCTTTGAGACATTAGCCTTTGTGAAAAGCACTGCACTGTATAAGCACAAGTTTTTGTAATAATCCCTCGTGTCTTAATAGGCCATTGAAAGAAAAGTATACTGCCCTAGCATGCCGATTGTTCAGTTGGGGGGAAAGAATGGTTTTATTGTGGTTCTGGCAACGTGTAAACTATGAAGCTACCAATCGGCACAGGTGGAAAGGAAACTTGCAGAGATTTCTGCTCACTTACAGTTTGGGCACCAAGTCAAACCGCACCTTGTTCAACAACTCATCCTCTCGAAGCATCACCATGGCGACAGGCGCTATGCGGTCAAACTCAAAGTTAAACTGCACACCAGCAGGAGGGTCTCGCAGAAAATTGCGACGATCCTACAAGCCAAATGGGAACAAAGCAACTCTCATTGATCTGTATTTTGATTCCATTCAAAGCTCGGTCCAGAGTTATCATTGTTTGATGTCGTAGAATAAAATTCCAAATGGAGATGGACTTCCGTGATCATCTTAGAAGTGCAAAGCAAGTGCCAACCATCTCCAACAATGAGCATTTGTTTGCTTACGCACCAAATGACATGGTGTCTTAATAGCTGTACCTTCTTAAAAGTTTCCCACACCCACTCTTTTTAAACTGATTTCAAATGAAAGTAGAATTTGCGGATGATATTTTTCAAGGGATTTAATGTTGAACCTGTGGTTAAAATAGGGGTTGAGAGATAGAACTATCCATAAATCACTGCAAAAGAGGAAAAAATTAATCTCTCAAGTGAGCTTCAGATGTTGCCGCTGGGATGATGAATGTGGCCTTTCCTTTTTATTTAAAAAAAATTAATTGTGGTGAGTCTGCGGGATAATTCAGTAAAAACTAACCAAATTAATATCTTAAATTAGACCATGGTTCAGGGAAGAATAGTGCAATGAAGTTAAAATAGCTTAGCGGCCCTCACTGCCCAGGGTCATGAACAAATGGGGAATTTGAGTGAGACTGGAAAAGGCTAGAGGAGGAAATTGGTAGCAAAGTTTGAGGAAAAGGACAACAGTAATTTTTTTGTGAACTTACTGCAGACAAGGAGAGTATCTGCTGTCTAATAGATTCCTCTTCAATATATCCAGCCCATGGTGGAAGTGTTGAACCTAGTACAAAAAAAATGAGACTATGAGTAAATAAGAAAGTAGAGATGTTCTGCCTTCAATGGTTTTGCATGGAACTGAGGCCTTTCACCTCCTCCCCAATCACTTACAGTTATCAACTTATTGAGACAAAAGACAAGGTTACAAAACTGGAGAGCCTGAAAATAAGTGAGGAATCCCAACATTTTAAAGCCATCAAAATCACCAAAACCCCATTATTCACACTCTCTTAGTTCTGTAGTTAACCGGCAATTGCTATGTTAAATTGTTCAACGGCAAACCCAAAATATAGGACACCATAATAGAACACGCTGAATAAAGTACCTGATTTCTTAGATTTCTTTTCCTTTACAAACTTTTCTTGTTCCTTTTTGAAATCTCCAATAATTGTCTGGAAACAATATGAGAAGAAAAAGTACAGTATTTAACCAGAATGTGGAGTTCTCAGATCAGTTAGCAATAATTACACGGTACGAGGTTAAGATAAATAATGAGCCATAGGAAAGAGCAAATCCCAGTTCCAATGGCTGTGTGTTTGTCCACTCAGTTGGGACAGTATTCGTCTCCAAAGTTGGTTTAGTGTCCCTGCGCTGGAGAAGAAAAAAGAAACATTAGATGGGATTCTGAACCTGGTGGTTCAGGTGAACCTGGATTCTGAATCTAGTCACCTCCACTGGAACACATTTATGTGTTGATTAATGCTGGGCTCAGCTGTGATGCGCCACACTGTTTAAAAGCCTGTCAACACTCACTGGGAAAACTCACGTGTAAAGAATGAGCAATGAACACACCATAAAGGATTGCTGATGACCATTAAATTGTAGTACTCTGTCCCAGCACAAGGGCAGAAAATAGTTTTTTTAAAAACATTTCATTTTTTTCCCTCCTTATTGCTGCAAAAGCACCTATAACCCATTATATTAGAACATGGCTTACCGTTAACTAGCTATTTTTTCCATAAAGTTATGAACGATTCTTCCGAGCCAAGCTTAAATTCCAAATCACTGATTCGGAGGAGCAATGTTGCTGTTTTTCAAACTGGGTTTAAAGATTAATTTTGCCTAAGAGAGATTTTTTTTTAAAAAAAAACAATCTTGAATATCTGACACCTGGATATGAAATCAGTCCAAAATAGTGGGATAAAATCTTGCAATCCTTCACCATTGAATTTAAGATTTTTGCTCTGGCAACTGATAAAGCTCTGTTATTTATGCTGCTACAGCACCCTCTGTTGGAGTCTCTTCCCAAAGAACTACAACACTATAAGTATTGAGAGTCCAAAACTTCCCTACAATTATCATTTGTTCCCCTTTAGCTTCCAGACCATTCAGCATCATTACAACATATCCAATAGTTAGTTAGCCCCTATTTTAATAGCATTTACACTGGTCCAAGAGACCTTTGACGAGTAGTTTTAAATGGTACAGCTTTGTTCACCTATAAATTCTGTCACTACACTTTAGGAGTAAATCCTGTGAAGCGCTTTGAGACGATTTGACAACATGCTAAGGTGCTCTGGCAAATCCAAGCATTATTATTATCATAGGAAATTTTGGAAAATCACAAAGAGGAAAAAAAAACAGATCACAAACTTGACGTATATCCGATGCTTTCTTACAACACTACCTTATTGAAGAGGTCATCTATCTTGCGTTCCTCTACCGATTTCTTTATTGTCTGGGCTGTGCCTCGCACCGACTCAGATACTTTCTTTGTAGCAGATGACGCAGCATTGTACAGGTAATCTGCAATTAAATGATACACAAATAAGAGACCAGCTTACTTCTGCAACATAAAATAATATACTCCCTGAACCTCAAAGGTAATCATTCAAGTCTAATCACTTATCTTCACAGATCAACGCTGACCCACTTTCCCCTCCCCATTCCCCTATTAAAAAAAACACAAGTACCAAGTACTTAAATCATTGGAAGGCATGTTCATCATTCTGTATCTATTGTAACTAACCGGAGACTTCCCCAGTTCCCGCTCCCTCAAAGGAGAGTGGAAACAAATTCTACAATTGTCCCTCATCAGTTAAAATGATAGAAAATTGACAATCTGAAACATATCTGTGGCTGATTTGTGAGCCACATTTCCAAAAATGTGGGAGTAGGTCACTTGATGTCTCGGGTACGAATGAAACAAGATGAGCAACAAAAGGGACTCGGAGGAGGGAATACTCTAAAACACGGGAGAAATGTTGTTTAATTTTTTTTTGAGCGAACAGAATCACGCAGACCAATGAGGAAAGTTCAATCTTCAGCATCTGCTAAGCAAACTAATTGGATGGAGGTGAGTAAACAGAGGCGTGTGTGTGCAGTAAGGAAACTTGCCTAAGGTCTTCGCCTGGGCCCCGGAATCGAACCCGGGTCCTCTCTCTAACCATCTTTGTTTGATGGAATTCCCAATGGTCTCAGCCATTACCTAAGACCACGTAGAACTGAGATGGCCCCAATCCCTGTTGTATCTCCCGGTATTGACAACTATGACAGAGGTGGAGGAAGTATATTTCTGTCATTCTTATGTAGGTTTTTGGGTGTTGCCAGACATTAAAATACAAAGTCAATCAAACACTAGCCCAAAGGTAGCCCAATATTATGCTTCGCCTTCTGTAGGAGTGGCAGAGCGGCCAAATTAGGTTAGCGCTTTTGAAACCGGTAAGAAAAGGTCTTCAAAGGAGAAGAGGGAGAGTTTTTTTTTAAAAAAAAAACTTTTGCAGGTTTAAATGACAAGTTTTTAAAAATTCAGCGCCAGCCCCACAGCAGTGGAGGGGTGGGGGATGGGGTGAGGGGTGGGGGGGGGGGTCACCTCCTCAAGCCCTCCGGCCACTCTGCCCCACCCCTCCCCCCTCCCTGGTGAAGGGACGCTGTGTAAAGGCAAGTTGTCGTCGTCGTGGTGCCCAACCGGTTGCCTCGTTTCGCCCACAAAGCACACACAGTCACTACACCACACACACACCCCCGACACAGCACTTCCTGCGAAGCGCTCCGGGACGTCTCGAAGATGTGATTACGGCGCTGTACCAAAGGCCGCGATTATGATTGTGATGATGACAATAATAATATTATGAATATTATTGCACGAGGAGGAGAACTCACTCCCGAGGCCTTTGGCCTGACTCAGGCCGGGAACAGGAACGGTCCCGAACCCGGGCCCCGCCGCGTCCTCCTCGTCAGCCTCCGACCCCGCGGCGGACTCCGGCCCACCGACCGCCCCCGACAGCAGCCGCTGCGCCTCCCGGGAGCCGACGGCATCGGGGCCGCCGCCGCGGGACAGCCAGTGAAACATGGCGGCCGGCGCGCACTGCCCTCTGGGAGCTGTAGTTCAATCTGACTCCCCCCTCCCACTGCCCTCCCCCTCCTTAGCCCCTCCCCCTCCTTACACTGCCCCGTCCTTAGCCCCGCCCCCTCCTTACACCGCCCCTCCTTAGCCCCTCCCCCTCCTTACACCACCCCTCCTTAGCCCCTCCCCCTCCTTACACCGCCCCCGCCTTAGCCCCTCCCCCTCCTTACACCGCCCCCTCCTTACACCGCCCCTCCTTAGCCCCTCCCCCTCCTTACACCGCCCCCGCCTTAGCCCCTCCCCCTCCTTACACCGCCCCTCCTTAGCCCCTCCCCCTCCTTACACCGCCCCTCCTTGGCCCCTCCCCTTCCTTGCACCGCCCCTCCTTAGCCCCTCCCCCTCCTTAGCCCCTCCCCCTCCTTACACCACCCTCCTTAGCCCCTCCCCTCCTTAACCCACCCACTCCCCACCCCCTCCAAAGCCCCTCCCCTCCTTACCCCACTCCCCACCCCCTCCTTAGCCCCTCCCCTCCTTACCCTACCCACTCCCCACCCCCTCCTTAGCCCTCCCCTCCTTAGCCCCTCCCCCTCCTTAGCCCCCCCTCCTTACCCCTCCCCCTCCTTACCTCCTCCCCCCACTCCCTCCTTAGCCCCTCCCCCTCCCTACCCCCTCCCCCTCCTTACCCCCACCTCCTCCTTACCCCCACAAGCTCAGACACACGCGCTCAACACTTAAAATAATTTTACATGTAATAGAATCAATGCAATTTCTGGGGGTTCTGCAAGGTGGGGGGAGGATGGGGGTTGGGGGGAGGATGGAGGGTGGAGGGGGCAGAGAAGCCACAGGAGTTTTGGAGAAAACCGGACACGTTGAGATCTCTTCCTGGCGTGAAAGGCTCCGAGACGCTACCCCACACACAACCCCCTCCCCCCACCATCTGTAAAGGGCGCTATATAAATGCAACTTGTTGTTGACACTACGTTCACCCGTTGCATCTATTCCTCCCGCTCCTCGACCCACGCAGGATGGGGAAAGAGGCAAAGCGCTGTGGTATAAACGCCGGCACAGACTGGTTAGGCGATGAAACTCTTTCCCCTCATTTAGATTTGAAATCACGTCTTTCGGAATAACAACAACAACAACAACAACAACAACAAAATTACATTTGTAATAGCCCTTTTCACGTCGAATAATGTTAAAACTGATCCGGGATCTGGCACTCGAGCTGTCGACTCTCGGTCGGACGTTGTGGGTTCAAGCCCCCCTCTCTACCCCCACCCCCCCACCCCCACCTTCCCCGCACTGAAAATTGAGGGCTTTGAGCACACACTCTGGGCTTAGGAATCCACAGATTTGGGACGTACTCCGGACGTGAAAGACGCTGCTGTGTGTGAATGTAAACTTGGATTGGATTGAATTGTAAGATCATGCTAGACAATTATTTGTGGAGTCCTGTAGCTCAGTGGTTAGAGCACTCGCTTTGCAAGTGAGAGACCTGAGTTCAATTCCAGGCAGAGGGCGAAACCTCGGGCAAGTTTCCTTACTCCACACAGAGCCTAATAATAATCCCTCCAAAACCAAAAACAATAATAAATTGGTCATTTTTAATCCACGACTGTTTGTGGGACATTGCTGTGCACAATTGGCTGCCGCGTTCGCCCACAAATATACAGTCAATTCACTTTACAGTGTGTTCTGTGAAGCGCTTTGGGACGTCCTCCCGACGTGAAAAGCGCTATATCAAATGCAAGGATTATTATTATTATTATTATTTGAGGAGGACAAGTTTGCCGGGCTATGGCGAGAGAGTGGGATTGAATTGGATTCAACCAAAGAGCCGGCACAGACACGATGGGCCAAAAATGGCCTCCTTACGCGCTGTATAATCCTACGATTCTACGATGCTCCAATTCACCCTGGGCGGTCATCTGAAAGCACTTACAGTAATAATAATATTAATAATAATAATAACCCTTGCACCCTATCGCATCTTCGAGACATCTCAAAGCGCTTCACTGGAGGTATATATATAATAAGTGTGTGTGTGTATTTTTGTGAGCTAACAATATTAATGCCATTGGGAGTAACAGCCCATCTGACCCATTGGAAGCATCATTTGCATTATTACTATTCGCAGCTGTTGTTACAGTACAAGTCCTGGGCGAGTAAGAAAAAAAAAATCGAGACTACATCTCCCGGCCTGCCCTGCGAGCCGGCGCGTGCGCAGCAGCTTCAAGGAGCGCGCGCGCGCGCGGGGGGGTGGGTGGGAGGTCGGGGAACCAACCAATCAGGAAGCGCGCGAGGTGAGAGGTTAAAAAGGCGCGCGAGCGGCGGTTTCTCTCTCTCTCTCTCTCTCTGCGATGAGGACGGAGCAATGGCGGCGGAAGGGGGGGAGCGGACACGGCCGAAGCAATCCGTTGCCATCCGCCGTCTCTCGGTGCCCTGAAGTGAGCTGGAACATCGCCATCCTCTCCTCCCGATGGTATACGACTACATCCGTTGGTTATTTTTGGCGGCTGGGGGGAGTGGGGGGAGTATTTTGAGCGGCCATCAGGGTGGGGTCTGAGAGGCTGTTCCAGGCCCCGATCGAAGCCATGTTGGGTTTCACGCCGTACCCAGAGTGGTCAAAACGGGAGCCCAGAGGAAACTTTTTCGAACGACGGTCGCTGTCCAGTTTGATCCTGTAACTGACTGCAGCAACATTTGTGAGAAAAGACAGCCATGTTCCTCCCTCCCCCCCCCCCCCAACCCTTAGAGACAGCCATGTTCCTCCCCCCTCCTCCCCCCAACCCTTAGAGACAGCCATGTCCCCCCCCCCCCCCCCCCACCCCTTAGAGACAGCCATGTTCCTCCCTCCCCCCCCCCAACCAACCCTTAGAGACAGCCATGTCCCCCCCCCCCACCCTTTAGAGACAGCCATGTTCCTCCCTCCCCCCCCCCCCCACCAACCCTTAGAGACAGCCATGTCCCCCCCCCACCCTTTAGAGACAGCCATGTTCCTCCCTCCCCCCCCCCAACCAACCCTTAGAGACAGCCATGTCCCCCCCCCCACCCTTTAGAGACAGCCATGTTCCTCCCTCCCCCCCCCCCCCCAACCAACCCTTAGAGACAGCCATGTTCCCCCCCCCCCCCCCATCCCTTTAGAGACAGCCATGTTCCTCTCCCCCCTCCTCCCCACCCTTTAGAGAACCTGCTGTGCAGTTCTTGGCTGGTGGTTGCATCTGATTTCCAATAGTGATATTCATTTTAAGGTAACGAATGCTTTTAAAAATTAGGATTTGAGAGTGAGAATCGATGCTGAGCTGCGCTGCCACACAATAAAGCTGGATGGGTACCTGGGTGGTTTGTTGGTTGGGGGCTGGGGAGGAGGAATCGAGGGGATAGTAATCCTTGTGTTTGATTACAGCGGCTTATCACATCTCAGGAGACGTCTCAAAGCGCTTCACAGCGTATACCGTAAGGTGCAGTGACTCTGTCTTGAGCGAAAGCTCTCGTGGCGTACAGCGAGACTCGCATAAGTCGGTCTTTATGACTTGTGTAATCGCCTGTGGCTCATATGCACCCGAGTCCCATTCAGTTTCCTGCCACTTAAGAGTTCTCCGCGTGAGTTGTCTTTTATGAAGCAGCTTGACCGTCCCGCACTTACTGGCTGCATTGAAGTCCACGTGCGTAGTGTAGATTATTGCTCAAAACGGGTTAACCTATCCAACTGCATTTGAAAAATGTTTGTGCTAATCAAGTATACAGTCTTGAGTATTCACTCTGTATTGCATGTAATTGGTGTATTGGTCGAATCTGATTGTGGTGAGCAGCTAATTTAACTTCAGGGTATCTATCTGCGGTCTCTGGTTACTAAATCGCCCTGTAGCTGCAGTATCTGTGGAACTGTGTTCATGTTCATTTTGTGTGCGCGCGTGTTTTTCGTTGCACATGTGCATTACACTCAGATTTAAAATGAATTCGATCTGCTGGTCTTTGCTGCCAAGTGTGAGGTATTGACTTGAGGTGCTCCCAAGTAGAGGCCAAAGGATGACCAGTAAGTGTTGCAGATTCAAGGGAAATCTTATAACGTTGATGCCCGGGTCCAGACTCCAGGGCCTCTGTACTAGAGAAATATGTGGGAGAGGAAGCTGATCACTACGACGTCGCTGGTGTTACTGCGCGCAAGATATTGCATTAGTGACACTTCCTACACATGGAAGCCCCTCAACTTGGAAGTTTGCTCCCTGTTTTAGTGCAGGAAGCTGGCTGGTTGGCATAGGATTCAGTTGTAGCTAGAGCTGGTGCAACCTGCAAATTGGAGTGACTGTATGTAGATTTAGTTATGAACTGTTAAGAGCTTTGAAAGCTTTAAATTACAGAGTTGTTACTTGCAATCATTTAAAGCTGGTAGCTTATTGGTGCACCTGTGCCTGTTTTACAGATCACTGAATGGATGGCACAAAACATTCCAACAAGGATTAAAAGCATGTAATGGTAAGTTTCCCAATATGGCTGTACTATATTCATTGGTGTACAATACCACATTTGATGTGATGCATGGTAACTGAGGCTGCAGCTTGAAGCAGTAGTTGTGGTTTCTCCAACAACATGCAAGATGAATCTGGAGAGGTTTTTGACAACCTTGGTCTTGTATTGCCTTGCTTGTCACTCTACTGTCCTACAAGCTCTTGGATTAGTCTCCTGGGCATCCCTCATCCCCTCTGCTACAACATCCGTAGCCATGCTTTCAGCCACTATGCCCTGAGATTCTGGAGCAATGCCTCTGCCTTTATCCCATCCTTGTCTGTCTTCAGATCACACCTGAAGACCTTCTTTTACCGTCCCCTACACTTTCCCTGGTTCAGCTTCAAGCTACCCCTTGTGAACGGTATATAAATGCAAGTTGTTCTAGTAATTTGTGGTTCCCTGATTGGTTCAAAGGCTTGTGAGTGTTGTATAGCCGTGGTTGCAGTCTGTTGTAGATATTCTGACATGTGTTGTATACAAATGGATTTAATTAAAAGGGATAAACTAATTTTTATTGCTGTTCTTTTCAGACACTAAGCTGTGACTCCTGATGTTGAGCTCTTTGCCCTAGAATTTGCTGGTGAAGTGAGCTGGGTAGGTATTAAATTGTTAGAAGCATTTCACAGGGATGTACTGTAACTACATACAGGCATAACCTTTATCCTTTTAAGCAGTGCTTCAATAAATAAATACTTTGAGGGATCATCCAAATGTGAAAGGTGCCATATTAATATAGATTGATCTTGTGTTTTAGGATGCTCGCAATGAGTGTAACATGTTCGGCATCAAGCCTTGATTGCAATTGGCCACATTGCTGGTAAGGGTATTGATCTCTTGACTATATTTCTTTTGATTTTAAATTCAGTCATAAATTGATGACTTAAATGACTACTGCATCTGTTGCTGGTCGATGATGACCTATTTTAAATTGTGGACTTCTTGGATGATGCTCGCGGATATGGGACTGAGATCAGCAATATGCACAGTTAATGCCTCGCCTGTGGGCATTGACGGCTTCTTTGGGCCCTGAGCAATTTTTCCCCAAAACAAAATAGCTCACAAATGGCCAAAATATACTTTTGCTAATCTGAATGGTGTGTTTTCACTGTGTGTGTGTGTGTGTATATATATATATGAACTGACTTTGAGGAATTCTTTTTTTCCCTCTTCAGATTCATTTCTCAATGCTTTGGTGATACCAACCTGGAAGACATCGTCTAGTAAAGTTGTTGTGACATTTGGTGTAAACTAATAATAAAAGGATTGATCTTTCTTAAAATGTGTTGCGGCTCTGATTTCTCTCTCTCTCATGAAAGCTACCTGATAGTTCAGCGATTGAATTATCTGATGTAGCACTAGTCCTGGGAGACGCATGAATTTTTAAAAAATCCCTGAGGATCTTGACTGACATTTTCAGGATGGCTGCATAAGAATTTATTGTTGACTTTGAGTCTTGGCAGAAAAAAAGCATTCTGCCATTTATTTTCCTTTCCCCATCTGTTCAGTTGCTGCATTAATGCACTCTAAAAGCCATCAAACCACAAAAACTGCCACTGCTCGTATACTTTAAAAGACCTCGTTCTTGTTTTATTGCGTTGTAAAGATTGTTTGTCTTGATGGTGATTTCCATTTGAGCCTGTTGACCCGCTATGCCTCTTCAGCAAGAGTCGCTGTTTGTTTCCTAACCTGTGAAGCTGAGGCTGGTTGGAATCTTATCTTTTAAATTTTTTTTAATATGGAACAATATTGTCTTAAGGTTCTATGGTCGTCTCACTGTGGGGAAAGCAATCTGAAAAGGCCAATGATTTATTACCTCTGCAGTCTTGTGCAATCCCAGCGCCCTGGGACATCGTTCTGACATGAAGAGCGCTATACAAGTGTCATTTGTTGTTGTTAAGCAGCATTTCTTTGCTGGTTAGTTGTCCAGCTCCTTAGTGAAACATTTGCATGATTAAAAACATTTGTGATGTTGATGTACTATAAATATTTAATGTCCAGCTCCGCCCTCTTCAAACATTTGTTGTGTTTTCATAAACCTTGCCGCAGAGTCTTTGGCCAAGTGCGTGAGGTACTGTGCAGCAGTCGTAATTAACGTTAGTGCATTTAACTAGGTACAATACCAAACCTAACAGGTGTGTTGCAATCTTTCTGGCCTCCTGAGAACACAATGCCAGAAGCTTTGCAGTGAGAATGATTCCAGGTGCTACACTGTTCTGAAACACTTGCCAAGGAGGAATCCGTAGGGGCAGAAACTTGTGCCCTTTTAGTTCGCATGATGTGTCCCAAATACCACAGTTTACAGTGGAAATGCCAGTCAATTAAAATCGCCCGTGTGGACTGCGCTTATGTTACCAACAGGCAGTTCATAAGACTTGGCAAGTCATCTGATCTTCAGGTAAAATATTCACAAGGTTGAAACGCAGCCGCTGAAGTGTGCATGAGACCTTGTGTGCCAAGGCTTCGTTCTAAATGGGTTGGAGCTCATTTTTGCCGAGTTTCCTGTTGGTAAGAATATATTGGTGTCTTTGAATTCAAATCAATTTTGAATTGCTTTGGCTAAAAACTTTTACACTCATTTTCAGCTGCAGGCTAATTTTTGCATTGGCTATAGCACTTACAACACGGAAGAGTCTTGTTAAATTCAGGTCCTTTGCTGAAGCCTAAATAATAATAATAATAATCCTTGCATTTGAGATAGCGCTTTTCACGTCGGGAGGACGTCCCAAAGCGCTTCACAGAACACACTGTAAAGTGAATTGACTGTATATTTGTGGGCGAACGCGGCAGCCAATTGCGCACAGCAATGTCCCACAAACAGTCGTGGATTGAAAATGACCAATTTATTATTGTTTTTGGTTTTGGAGGGATTATTATTAGGCTCTGTGTGGAGTACGGAAACTTGCCCGAGGTTTCGCCCTCTGCCTGGAATTGAACTCGGGTCTCTCACTTGTAAAGCGAGTGCTCTAACCACTGAGCTACAGGACTCCACGTGAGCTACAGGACTCCACAGGAGGTTTTCCTCTCGCAAGTTTACAAACAAAAAAATAGCTCCAATTCTGCTGGTGAATGGGTTTACAGCGCTTGATTAGTGGTGTTCCATCAGTGGAAACTGATCGATATAGAATAATCATAAACCAGTAGAGTTTCCGTCAGTGACCTTGCTCTGGATTTCCCTCCGTCTTGCCCGCTTTCTAAACTTGGCTGAAAACCATTTGACCGCACTTACAGTCACCTCCCTGTTCTCCTTTGTTTGGTGTCTGACCTTTCCAATTAAAATACTTCATTTTAATGGCTTGTACAGTAATCACTCCAGAACACAATGACCCAGAAAGCAAACCAAGTTTCCACTCCTGAGCTGTAACAAAGCTAATGCGGGTTGGTGTCTGCAGAGGGCAAATCAGCTCTGGCACCGCCTTCCATCACCTCCGGAACATCGCCAGACTACGGCATTACCTCACCCCTCACGCGGCTGAAACCCTGGTTCACGCCTTTGTCACCTCAAGGCTGGACTATGGGAACTCTCTCCTCGCCGGCCTTCCCGGCCCTCCCTCCACACTGCAGGTCATTCAGAACTCTGCAGCTCGTGGACTGTCCCGCACCAGGCTTCGGGACCACATCACTCCCACCCTCGCTCGCCTCCACTGGCTCCCCATCCCCCAGAGGATTGATTTCAATATCCTCATCCTCACCTACAAGGCCATTCACGGCCTCGCTCCCTCCTACCTCTCCAACCTACTATCCCCCTACCTACCTGCCCGTACCCTCCGTTCCTCTGGCTCTGGTCTGCTCCACGTCCCCCGCCCCAATCGCCCTACCATCGGTGGTCGGGCCTTCAGCCTCTCAGCCCCCAGGCTCTGGAACTCCATCCCCCAGTGCCTTCGCCGCTTCCTCCCTTTCCTCCTTCAAGGCCGGTCTCAAAACCTTTCTCTTTGACCGAGCCTTCAGCTCCCCTCTCGACTCTCTTCCCCCTCCTCGCTCCCTCCCTTCCCTCCCCTCACCCTGACCATTTCCCCCCTCCTCGCTCCCTCCCTTCCCTCCCCTCACCCTGACCATTTCCCCCCTCCTCAGGTCATGACCCAACTGTGCAGCGCCTTGGGACGTCCTCCTGACGTGAAAGGCGCTTTATAAATGGAATCTTGTTGTTGTTGTTGTCATCATTCAGCAGCATATCCTCAGTGTGAATGGAACTGCTTTTATTACACCACCACCAACAAAATTACATTTGTATAGCGCCTTTCACGTTGGGAGGACGTCCCAAGGTGCTGGACAGTCGGTATCTCGGACCCGAGCTGGGGATCAGGGAGGGTGGGGGTGAAGGAGGGTGGTCGAAGGCATAGTCGAAGAGGAGGGAAATTATTAGGTTATAATTCAGGTTTCTTCACTGTTAAGTTTAATGCCAACACTAAAACCGATTGTAAGGGAACTTGTGCTACAGTCAAATCAAACTCTGACTCAGTTAATAGCAATATCTCCTTTTGAGTTGGTAGGAGTTTCTATGGGTGTTCTGATCAACGATGGCCCAGATAAATGGTCATTTGCTTCATGGCTGTTTGGGATATTGCTGTGCACAAATTGGCTGACGCATTCACCTACAACTACAGTCACTACATTTTACAGTGAAGATCTTGTAAAGTAATTTGAGATGTAAATTGATGATGGGACAAGGTACAAACTATCAAGTGCCACAAATATTAGGTAATATGTTGTGCGTTGCTCCACCCTGCATACTAAGTGGATGTCTTGTTTCACAAACTGATTTTGAATTAAATTTAATATATTACCTGTAGCAAAACATTGCAGAAACTTCCACAGAGTTAATCATGTGGACTAAACAGATTGAACTCCCAGAGTCGAACAGGACTCGGAATCCGTCAAGAAACATCTCAGATATCACGCCTTTGGGTTTCACACCAACAGATTGAACCTACGAGCTTTAAAAATCTCAGTCAATAGAGGGCACTGAAGTACAAGTCATTTCAATTGCACCTCTGTTGTGAGCTTGGATTTTCTTGCAGCAAAAAAAGCAAGCAAGAGATCACACACTTGCTAACCAAGGTTAGACTAATGACAGACTACAGCGACATGAGTGTTTGACAGGAAAATGCAGTCAGTGCCCAAACGTACCCCCACCCCCACCCAAAAAAAAAAACAGTTCCTGTTCTGCTAGCGTGCGCAGGATACAAAAAAAAAAGAATGTCCTGTACTTACTGGTGTGACATTGCAGATCTCACCACAGTGTTTTGACAATAGAACAGCCCAGGTGTATGTTAGTACAGGGTGGTTGTTAGTACAGGGTGGTTTAAGTGGTGCTGGGCATCATTCCAGCATTCTTATGGTACACTGACCTTCGAATTGCTTGTTACAGCATTCTTTGTGCCAACCGTATGCATCTCCTGTTTATTTATCTCAGCCCGGCTCAGTTGGTATAACTCTCGGCTCCCGAGTTAGAATGCATTTTGAATTCACCATCTGGGCTGAGCTCTGACACAGCGCTGGATTGGCGGTGATGGTGGAGGGGGTTGTGGGGGCTGCATGGTCGGAGGTGCCGTCCTTTGAGCAAGACGTTAAATACAGGTCCTATCTGCCCAACCCTTGTGGTCAAATGATCCACCAAATTGCCTGCCAATTCTGCCATATCAGTAATGCCACCTGGGCAGCTGAAAATGGTGGAAATGTATATACAGTTGGGGAGAGAAATGAAATTACACCCAACGCTGTGTTCACAAGAGAGGTATGGAGAAAGAGAGCCTTTTGTTTCATTTGAATATCACCAGACCATCTTTCCATTACAGTAGCAAGCGATTTATTTGCTTAATGTCTGAGCTATTTAAGAAGGGTAATTTGCGTTGCTTAAGGTTACAGAGGATCTGTTGCTAACATAAATATGGAGCAATCTGTCAGCATTGCCTGTGAAACAAATATCATAGCAATTACCACCAAGACTCCCACCCAGGCTATTTCGATCAGTGTATTAGGTATTAATGGCTTTGATTTAATGTAAGTGGGTTAGTGGGCTGATGAATGAGGTGATTAAAATTCCCCGCTTATATCAAGCTACAGTATTTTGCCTTAAGTCTCTGTTTACCTAGCAGTAAGTAGGAACCCGGTTGTTAGTAGGATTGGCAGATCGCTTCTCTGGGGGTAATAATTCCTTCAAAAAATAATAATAAAAAATTGATCACTTCAACCACGACTGTTTGTGGGACACTGCTATGCGCAATTGGCTGCAGCATTTCACCCAAAAAAATATACAGTCGATTCACTTTACAGTATATTAAG